TGATGTATATTGCCAAACTTTAGGGCCTTTTTGTTTTAGTTAACATTATCATAGCCTTCCGCTGCATTCTAGACTTGTACTATTGGGCGGAGCCCTTTTTGGATATAGGTGACTGTTATGTTGATTACGATTGTTATGGCCAGTGGTAGCAGTTATTTTGGTGGACCGAAAATGCTATAGTCCATTCATGATAGGTCTTAGTTATTTTTGAGATTTTAGAGATTCATGATGGGATTTGTTATACACATGAAAAATCAAGTATTAATTACTTCTTATTACATTAATTATCTTTACTACTTTAGATTAGTGGCTACTGCACTGTTATGAATGTATATTGTTAATGACTATGGTAAATTTCTATTTGATTTATTTTGTCTTTCCTAACATAGTTAACCTTTCGAAGTAATTATCGCCTTGAAAATGTTTAGTTACCATGAATTACGACGAGGGTTGTTACATGTAACACGTGTTCCAAGGCTTCCCACTGTCTGACAGTCGGGGATGCCATGAACTGGCTTAGTACACTAACTGAATAAGTAATATCCCGATGAGTTACAGTGAGATAGTTTAACTTGCCAATCATTCTCTTGTACCTCTCAGGATTCTCAAATGGTTTGCTCTTTTGAGCCTCAAGCATCCGTTTCTCATCATCAAGAGAGTCATCAGGCGGTATGCTCCCATCAGCGTCAAGGAGTGGGTTGTGAACCATAGGGAAATTAGTCGGTGCTGCTCCCAACTTCCCAGTTTCCTTTAGTAGGTCAAGGACATATTTGCGCTGTGTCAGTAATATGCCCTTCTTGCTTCTCATAACTTCAATACCTAGAAAGTATGTCAGAGAGCCCAGATCCTTCGTCTGAAAGTGGGAATTAAGAAAGGACTTGAGGGACGAGATGCCTGAACCATTACTGCCTGTAATCACAATGTCATCTACATATACCACCAAGAGAATCATGCCAGCCGCTGTTCTCTGATAAAATACAGAATGATCGCACTTGCTTTGGCTCATGCCAAATTTCTGTACAACAGTGCTGAACCGGTCAAACCATGCATGAGGACTTTGCTTCAAACCATACATGGACCTCTTAAGGCGACATACTTTCCCACACTCCCCCTGAGCAACGAACCCAGGTGGTTGCTCCATATAGACCTCTTCATGGAGATCCCCATGCAAGAAGGCATTTTTAATGTCTAACTGATGTAAATCCCAATCATAAGTAGCAGCCAGAGAGATGAACAGACGAACAGATGAGAGCTTAGCAACAGGAGAAAAGGTTTCAGAATAGTCAATGCCATAGGTCTGTGCATAACCTTTAGCCACAAGGCGAGCCTTAAGGCGATCAAGTGTGCCGTCAGCCTTAGTTTTCGGAGTTAACACCCATTTACATCCAATGGCCTTTTTGCCTGCCGGTAAATCGATCGGGGTCTATGTATTTGCCCGATCAAGGGCCGCCATCTCCTCTTCCATTGCAGCACGCCAACCTGAGTGGGCCAAGGCTTCACGAATAGTTCTGGGCATAGAGATAGTATCTAGGGAGGCAACAAAGGAACTGGACACAGGAGACAAGTGGTCACAGGAAACAAAAGATGAAATAGGATGGACACAAGTATGTTTACCTTTGCGAAGGGCAATGGGTAGATCAAGAGAGGCATCCGGGTCTGGAACAGGAGGTGTCTCAGGATTAGGGTCAGAACGAGGTTCAGTGGTGCTCAACTCAGGATTTGATGGCGAAGCGGACAAGGGAGGAATAGAAGCTGGCGTGGCGGTAGTAATCTCCTTTGACCGTCGTGCATACACATGATCAAATGGTTGAACGGGTGCGGGAGCGGGTGCTTGCGATGACGGTGATGGTGAAGTGACAGAGTACAATAGAATGTCATCCTCCTCCGCAGGTGGGGAAGAACACGAGAAATATGGTGTGGACTCTTGAAAGGTGACATCTGCAGATACTAAATAACGACTGAGAGTAGGTGAGAAACAACGATAACCTTTTTGGACCCGGGAGTATCCAAGAAAGACACATTTAAGAGACTTGGGGTCTAACTTTGAAATAGATGGACGTATATCCCGCACAAAACAGACACACCCAAATATCTTAGGAGCAATAGGGAACAAAGGCTTAGAAGGAAAGAGGGTAGAAAAAGGAGAGTTACCATCAAGAACAGAGGAAGGCATTCGATTAATAAGAAAGCATGCAGTGGAGACCGCGTCAGCCCAAAATGGTTTAGGAACCTGCATTTGAAACAAAAGTGCATGTGTCACTTCAAGTAGGTGGCGATGTTTCCTTTCGGCAACACCATTTTGAGCTGGTGTATCAACACAAGACGATTGATGAAGTATACCATTTTGAAGCATGTAAGATTGGAACGAAGCAGAGAGATATTCTTTAGCATTATCACTTCGTAAGGTGCGAATAAAAACATTAAATTGAGTTTTAATCTTGGCACAAAAGGCACAAAAATGGGAAAACAATTCAGAACGATGTTTCATTAAATATAACCAAGTTGTTCGGGAATAATCATCAACAAATGTAACAAAGTATTTAAACCCTGCTTTGGACTCTACAGGACAAGGACCCCAAACATCAGAATGGACTAACTCAAAAGGGGATGAAACCCGTTTATTGACACAAGACACTAAGGGAAGACGATGATGCTTGGCAAACTGACATGACTCACAATCTAAAGACGACAAATGCTGAAATTGAGGATAAACTCTCTTGAGAGAAGATAAAGACAAATGACCCAATCGACAATGAACTTCAAAGGGAGAATGACTGCTAGCGCAAGCCACCGCATGAGACACCCGATCATCCAATATATAGTGCCCGCCAGATTCATAACCTCTACCAATAATCCGCCTCGTCAAAAGATCCTGTATCAAGCAATGAGAAGGAAAAAGTGAGACCCAACAGTTTAGTTGACGGGTGAGTTTACTGGGAGATAGGAGATTGAAAGCAAGTTTAGGGACATTTAGCACAAATGACAAACGGATAGAGGGAGTGGGATTAACAGTGCCAGAACCGAGAACTTGAGACTGGGAACCATCAGCGATGGAAACACTTGACGGATTAGCAAAAGCATTATAAGAGGAGAAGAGATGGCGGTTACCTATCATATGATCAGTAGCCCCGGAATCTATGATCCACTTTGAGGAAGAAGAAGCAAGGGCAGTAGCATTATTACCTGTTGTAGCCGTGGCACTCACAGACGGCGTAGCAGATTTTAACTGGGCATACTCAGCGGCAGAGATCGTGACTGTGTCACTGGCTTGTGTAGCCACGTGGGCAGAGTTATTTCGTTGCTGTTTATTCTGAAGTTTTCGACATGTGCGTTTTGTATGCCCTGGTTCTTTGCAGTAATAACACACTATCCCACTGGAGTCAAAAGGGGCTCCCCCTTGCTTTGAACCACCACGGGTAGGCCCCCCGCGGTTATCACTGGGACTACGAGTCTCATAGGTGCCCTTACTGAGCAAGGCACTTGTAGGAATACTAGCAGCTGGTGGCAAGAGATTCTCAGCTCTCATTACTCTGGAAAACACATCTTGAAGGTCAGAAATCTCAGATCCGAATAAGATTTGAGAGCGAACTGTGTCGTACTCAGGTGGGAGACCAGTAAGAAAGCTCATAATAGCCATTTGCTCTCGTTGCTTATGCTGAACCTTTAAATCAGCAGTAAGCGGCATTAACACATTCAGCTCTTCATACATCCTCTTAAAGTCCATAAAGTAGGCTTTGAGAGGGCGATTTTGTTTCTCAGAACGATAAAAAGCTTTGCAGACCTCGTAAACACGAGAGATATTTCCTTTTCCTGAATACAAAAAATCTAAACAATCCATTAGTTCCTTAACCAATTCACAGTGATTAATAGAAGGAATAATCTCACTGTCAATGGAATTACGGATCTTGAAAAATAGCCGTGCATCATCCCTCAACTAGGCCTTTTTTGAATCAGTTGTTGGAAGATCATCGGTCAGATGGTCTTCCTTCTCAATTCTTCGCAGATAGAGACGAATTGTTTTACTCCAATCCAAATAATTTACCCAAGTCAACTTATGATCAGTAATTTTAGTAACAGTTGGGACAAGCTTCGAGACAGATTTAATTTCAGCCATAGATGAAGTGCATTAACCAAAAGGAATGCGAAAGAGTGTCACACAGGGACACAAAGCATGATACCTGAATCACCTAATGAATACCCAAGTAGTGAAAAGACCAACAGCTACACAGGGAGCTGCAAACAGAACCGAATTGCACAAAAAAGATGAACCGTACGGACACCGGAGTGAACAGTACCGAAAACTTGATGAACAGTGCACCACGCCGTACCCACACCAAGGAAGTACCACAAACTTGCCGGAAATCAAGTGTCGCCGTCGATCGTCGAAGTCGCCGGTGAAACGGGTGTCACACGCGCCGTCATGCATCGGCGTGTGAATTTCCGGTGGACTTGCAGGAGGCGCGTGAGAGCCACGCGCTGGCGTTAGGCAGGGCGGTGGTACGAAAGGAAGCGCCGGGAAGGGGGGTTACAAGCTCACACGGTAATGTTGATACTGTAGCAACCGAAAATTACCACCCAAAAAAGAATCTCACGCTCTGATACCATGTAGAATACAGAATAATATGGAAAATAATTCTCTTGTATTTCATTGCTCAGAATATGCACATATATATACAAGTGGAAGGAGCCTTTGCATTAATGGCTCATTATGATAATATCATATGATATCATATCCTAATCATAATTACATAATATTTACATAATATCATATCATATCTCTACATTATTCAAGATAGAGATTACTAAGAAAGCTAGAAATTATTCTATTTTTGTATGGTTCTTAAGAATCGATGAAATTCAGAGTTTATTAAAAAACAATTGTTATTGAAGACCAAGCAATAGATAGCCAGAGCAATGCTTGATTACTTCAAAACAAAACTTGATCTACTAGGCCCATCAATTAAATAGGAAAGAACTCCCTGCCCGGAGAGATACTTATATTTAGTGATCAACAGCATTTTAAATAATATATCCAATAGAAAGATACCTGTGTCTAGCGAAAAAAAGGGGGGGAAAAAAGTGGAAGAACTCAACCGCATTATTTGACAACCTATAAACAAACATGCAACTTCTTCCAACTATATGATCTTTTTACCCTCCTCACAAACATTTAAAATATAAGACGCAACAGGCACGACCCCATGCCATGATGTTGTGTACATCTGATGAGAAACTTCATACCACAAATTAGAAAAAAAATAGTGTATCAATCATCAAAAAATGAAGTCATTAAGTTGAGTATATTTGCTCTTATGTCCATTCTTCCCGATGATGTATGCACTTTCTTCCGTGTCTGCATTCAAACAATTCATCCTGTGCCTGTTCATAAGGAAGAGTTATTTGATGAGGCCAAAACCACCCACCATTTGACACTTCGACATGCTCTAAGAGAACGTCTGATTTCACGTAGGAAATCACTAAAACCATGGTTTTGACGGAAGCAGCCGGTTAGCTGCTTTCGCCAAAACTGTGGTTTTAGTGATTTTCAACGTAAAACGAAAGAGTGCCAAGACAAAAATATAATAGTCAACAAGAATTGTAAAAACATTTTACCAGGCGAAATGGTCTTCACAGCATATAGAACCCCATATAATTGCAAGACCAGCTCCTTTCCTGCATTCACAGGAAATTAACACAACAGAAGAAAGGGCATGGATAGTTCTCATCAAGCATAATATGGTAAAGCATCCAATGAGAACTTTGTGTAACTGCATGCTTCAGTAGAAGATGGGGATTGGAAAATGATGACGTTGAGATCACATACCAAGTTGCAGTATACATGTCGTAGAATTTTTCAAAGGCTTTACTGAAGCAGTAGTGGCAAACCAACAGATCCTTAATGCAAGTCACCTTGCAAGTTGACTTGCAACATTTTACCTACATTGAATACAGATTTGAACAAACATGTATTGGTACAGTATTCCACCCACCAGGATTATAGTCAAAAATTGCCTCTACAGCATTCGTAACTGACGTTACCTCAATGGACAACACCATAGTTCATACATATTACATGACACGTTAAAAGTAAACACACATATAAGGTCAGGAATTAGTCAAAAAGAATGGTCAAGAAAAAGGAGAAACTTACTAGACGTTTAAGCTTGTGTGAGTAAAACTGCTGATGAGATGGGTGTGTTCGTATATGCTCATCCAAGTGTCCTGCACTGGAAAATAGGAATCTCAGAATCACCTGGATTGTTGAGACACAAACTAGCTAACACACACACACACACACAAAAGGTTGGAAAGATGTTGGGGGAACGAAAATTGATTGCATCCGCGTGACTTTTCTTCCCACAGTAATTTTCTCAAGTATGACTAACTGAAGCAGATTCTGAGAAAAGTGAGAAAAACTATGTAAACCGGAGAATTGAAGTTCCATGAGCTAGGGTGTGCAGTACTATTTGGCATCCCACCTGCTCTGATGCAAGCCATATTTGCTCCAACTATCTCAATGCTACAGGGAATTAATTTCAAGAGGAGATCACGATAGCCATTTGCTTTCCAAAGAGATGTTTTAAGATTTACAAAATTCTCAGAACACCAGTGTTCAACAGACTGGAAACTAAAACGCCTTCCATTTCCCCCATAAAGCCCCTCACAAAATATCTATCAACAGCCCTAGTTATCCTCCTATTAAGCATGAAAACAACCATGCTATCACAGAAAAGGGACAATAGATCCCTCTGTCTCTTCTCTTTTTCTCTTCCCATGAAACCAGGACGTCGGCTCTCCATTTACTAACTCAGAAAAGGTTGCCCCCCAACCCCCCGGGGGGGGGGGGACTGGGTTCCAATTTTACTCCAAATCCTTTTTTGGTGAAAGGATCAAGTATTCTCAAAGTCTAGCTTCAAAACAAAACCATTATTCCCCCCAGTTTATCACCATCAACAACCTAATTAGCTATTAAAGCTGCTTCAAGAATCAATTTACCTACATGAGATAAATGCACTCCGGTTCTCAAAGTAGTACTTGATAAAACTTCATCCAGCTGCATGTTATGTGATTAGAGTTTTTTCCTTTTCTTTTCTTTTTCTTTTTTGAAAGAAAAGAAAAGCAATGACAGCTAAGATCAACGCTTTTGTCATGTCATCAAATGCAGCGGCAATCTTAGCTTACATCAGTAATAGGGTCGTGAATCAAAATTTCATCAAATATCAATGTTCAGGCCTATGTTTATAACATTTCATATAGAAAACAGCTTGGATTTCAATTACCTCCTACTAAAGACTAGAATACCGTGTGACAGCAAAAATTGTTTATTACATCATTCACGAATGGCAACATAATGGTGCATTGAAAGATAAAAAAGAGTATACAGAAACATTTCCACATCTCACTAGAAAGATGCATTCTCCAGAATACGGACTTATAAGCGTAGGAATCATCACATTCAATAATTAAAACATTAGAAACCTTTTAAGAAACTTGCAAAGATCGAAAGATATGAAGAAATTCTAACGGACAATAGCTATGGATAATTCTGAAACAAAATACGTAATCAGTATATAAGTGTTCAGCTTACCCATCACAAATGACAGTATCACAATCAAGGCATGTCGCCAAATTTGATGAGACACGGCATGCATTACAACTTGCTGACAATATTGTTTTACTAATTTGGTGGCATCTGCACATAACAGTCAATAAGACTATTATAATTGGTAAGAACTCCTCTTACAACACAAAATACAAAAAGAAAGTTCCAAACCTTCTATATAGTCCAAGAAGATCCTTAGGAATGGAACTTGATTTCTTATCTGCTACAGTGGCCTAGGTCAAAAGGAAAAAAAGAAAAGGAAGAAACTTTAGCAGACTTTTACGTTGTCAAATATATAAATTCATGGAATGGAATAGCCGAGCAGGTGGAATGCTATGACTGAATAGCATGACAAACCTGGATGCTAGTATTCACTACACAGTCTTCAGCTAGGTGCCCAGGTTTTTGGCATTTCCAACTACAGTAAAACAACTTGCTGTAAAGATATACTAATCCAGGGAAGCAAAGAAGTATATCTATTTGCATGGATGTGAGCAATGTAAAAGCTCTCATTGTAACTAAGGATGGGGATATTGATGTTTAAATTTCCTAGAGCATTACACGGTATTAAAGATAGGTCAGCATCGGGGTTGTATCAGAAAAGTCATTTGAGCAGATGAGCAGATAATTATAGACTTCTTGTCAATCAGTTTTATCCTGCCATGCCAATTGGCCAACCAGAAGAGCCCTTTTTGACTCTAAGGACGGGATGATTGAAGTAGAAACATACCATTCATAAGTACAGAGGCTTGATCTTGTTTTTGACCAGCGATGCCGGTTATAATCCCATGTACTCTCACCAAACACAGGCACTGTTAAACCATAATCAAGTCTGGATGAAGAGAAATCTTGAACTTGGTCATGACAGGAGCCCTGAGATCAGCATAAATTAAAAATGAGAAAACTTAGAAAGCAGAACATGTGGAACTCTTATTACAGATATCTAACAATAAAAGCACCTCATTGAGTCGGAGAATTTCCAAGAGTTCCTTTTTGCACTCCATACTACAAATGTCATCATCTGTCTATCAAAGCATGTAAATATTAACATGACCGGTCATTGCACAAAGCACAACATGTAAAGTGTTAGCTAATGTGATTACAAATATCACAGCTTACCTCATTGCATATATACTCTCCATATCTACCACATATGAGGCAAACAGGTTCTTCAAGAAGAGGAAATCGTTGTTCATTTCTGCTTTTGACTCCATCAAATTCTTTTGCATCGCCTTATTAATGCCCCAATTCAAACAAGACATTAGAACATTATGATACTAATATAGAAATAAAAATAAGCTGTCAAAAGAAAACTTGTAAACATGCATATCAAGAAACAAACCAGAAGTCGGAAGATCCTGCTTTTCCTCACATTCTAAAGGGAGGCTTTCGTCACCTGAGCATCCATGAAGATAATAGAAAGTTAAAAAAAAAAAAAAAACATGGCTAATTTCTAGAAAATAATATATTTCTTTAAATTTTTCCCAAGAGACAGGCACGGCAGATCAGTTAACCAATCATGCACAAATCAACATACAAGAAGAACAACAATATAACAATGCATGCCATCACCGGAATATAATAGTGTGTATATATATTTTGTAATATTCAGAATATCCTCAAACTACTTTTGATCTCTGTTAGGCTGAAAGCATTAAGATTAAAGGCCTTCCAACAAGTGTGCTTCCCAGAATCCAAACTTGTGTTTTCCTCCTTACGGTGTGAGATCACTTACCATTTCAACCAACAACTTGTTGGTTAAAATAGTATATTTTATTTTGAAGGAAAGAAGGATAAAAATTAATGGCTGTCAAGTGTTGAAAGAATCCAACGAATCCAAGATAACATTTCCAAGTTTCCAATGTACTCCATTTATACAAGCAACAAAGTAACTGCATCTGTTGAAGTTTGAGGAAGACTGAATTAGAAGGGCGGAAAGCTAAACCCAATGAAGAAGAGGATGCAAAACTGAATGAACAAGAAGTGTAATTCTGAACAATGAATTCATCGGTTCACATGGTCATTTCAATAATACATATATACAATGCCTATCTTAACTGCACAGCACATTCTGGGGAATTCACATGCCACATCCGATTGCTAGTTTCATTCTCTTTGCATCTAACTAACATAACTACCATCATCTTTCAACACTATATCAGTGGTGTAAAATGTTTCATAAACTTACTAGTGTAATCCACCAAGCTTATGGCAGAATTAGGGTTCCCCTGCCACAGAGAAACCAGAACATCAAGAACAGAAGATGGAAGAGGAGGAGTAACTTGAAACATATTAATCCAGCCCCAGTAACTGAATTACCAGAACATCTTCAGTCAATTTTTCGTAAGGCAGAGACGAACCGACTTCTTTCCTGCTCAAGGCAAAATAAATGAATTCCCCAGGTAGACCATGAACTGGAAACATTGCAATGAATGTGGACTTATATATCAAATTCGAAGCGATTAATGAAGCAAAAGATCACGATACGTGCCTTCTCTTTTCAATGTAATCGTGATGTGACAAAGAGATGTCGTTCTCTTCAGAGTCAGCTTCAATGGTTTGCGGTGGGTTCGGATTCCGGCGACGTTTCTGGGTGGGCTTTTTCTCCTCGGATTCAGCCGGAACATTACCGGTGGCGATATTGTAAGCTGCAAATTGCGTAAGCCAAATGCCTAGCTCTGAATTAATACGAATATAAAATAATTAAAGACAAAAAAATTCAAGCAAAGCTTGACCTCTGAGGTTCTGAAGAACGGAGGAAAGACTGAATTGTTTTTTGTAAGAGATAGAAGGGTTCTTGTAGAAATTGGTTCTCGTTCCCATTCTCTCGTTCTATGTGCCTCCGAATTTCAATATGCAGAGCCTCACTAGCCAACTGATTTCAATCGACAAGAGAGAAAGAAACCGGTGAACAATCTGATTATGCCGAGAACAACACAATAATAATATGCTGCAGTCATCAACACGGATCAATCACCAATCATCAATATGACAACATAGCGATTAGCATTTCACAAAGGCGCACGAAGCACGTAGAATGCGAATTCAAGTGCCGTGAGAATTATCTGTCATGTCACACGTGAAGTATTATCCCTCACCTTCCGGGTAACACACCCGCATATTCTCAAGCAGTCCTCAACGGTCCAGGGCATCCCAAGGGCAAGGTGAAAGACAGGCTCTCCTTGCTTAAATGCCCGCCCTGACGCTTGATAGTGAGAAAATTAAGAAAATTTATTAAGTTAGTTACTTGTAATAAATATGTATTTTTTTAAAAATATTCTTTACAAATCATATATATTAACTAAAACTATCATTTGATAGAATCTTTAATATATACAACTACCATAAAAATTACTTTGAAAAAAATAAAAAAAATATGAGAAACAAAATAGATTGAGATTTTATATTTAGAATCAAATTAAAATTCAAACTAGTTCTTTCATTAAGAATCAAAGATAGTATAATAGCTTAGAAAATTAATTTAGAGATATTCAAAAAATTAGTTATTTTGATTATTTATCACAAATATGTGTTGATCTCCTTAAACTATCTTTTTCCATTATATGCATTAAATTATTACAATTATTCCTTGGTGGGTCATCTTTAAGTCAATAGGGATATTTTAAAGAAAAAAAAAAGAGACGAAGTGGATTGACATTTTATATTTAGAACCAAATCTAATCTCTAACTAACTTTTATCCTACCTACGAATCTTAATATAAGATTCAATTGACTAATTTAAGAAAATTAATAAAATTACTAAATTACTTTTTTTTTGGTAGTAGAAGAATACAAAACTCACTAACTAGAACAGTTCGACGTGTCAGCGTATACGCAATTTGTAATAAGCTGAGGCATGTTGGAGAAGCGATGATCCCCAGGAGCTGCGCTGAGGCCTTCCTTTGCTCATAAATCAGCAACCATGTTTCTCTCTCTATAGCACCAACTAATGTAGGCGTCCCACTCGCGTTCTAGGACCTCAGTGATTTCCTTGAGCATGACTTCGTGATGTCCTTCCACTGCAGCTTGACTCTTTAGAGCTTCGACCACCTCCAAGCAGTCAGACTCGATAATGACATAGTGATGACCAGAGTCCCAAGCATACTTCAGGCCCCAAAGAATGGCCTAGGCTTCGGCTCCAAAGCATTTCCCTTTCCCCATGTTACATATAAAGCCACCTAGAGGCTCTCCCTTCTAGTCCTTCATTATCCCCCCCACATGCTTGCGTCCTTAACTTCGTGGAGTAAGCTCCATCGATGTTTACTTTCGCACACCCTTGCTCAGGTGGTTGCCACCTTTTCGCATCTCCCCCGTCTCTTCTAGTCGTCAAGTATGTCCCTAGTTTCCAACTCGCACACGCTTTAACCTTAGCTAGTACTTCCTCCGCCTTGGGTTCCTTATAGTCAAAAATCCTGGAGTTTCTGGTTATCCAGAGTTGTCTACAAGTAATTGCAAACCAGTCCTTCCATTGCACTTTATCCCTCGGAGATGTCTGTTTGAGGTTCCAGTCGATCCACCTTGTTATGTCTTGAACTGAGAAAAACTTAGCACCCACTTTGCATGGCACCAAATTGCCCTACACTTCTTTAGCGATTCTGTAGTTGCGGAGTACGTTCATGCAACTTTCCACCTTATTGGTGCACCACTGGTAGTCCGCGGTTGCTGCGAGGCCCCAAGAGAACCGAGTTTCATTAGTAAGTAGCCTGTTTTGTGAGCAGAGCCATAGGAAGTTCTTGCATCTTTGTGGTATACTCAGTTTCCAAATTGATTTCCAGTAGTTCTTGTTGGACGAGTCCCCCTGTCCACGGAGGCTATTGTACACCGATCTAGTGGTGAAGCTCCCCGACGACGATAAACTCCACGTCGGGGAGTCTTCTATATCCACATTTTTGGCTAGGTTATCAATTTCCCGGACAATAACCTTAGGTAGGAATGAAGCATACTGATCTTTATGCCATTCCCAGGTCGCCATCATAGCTTCCAGCACGCTCATGTCCTTCAGGTCTTCGGGGACTTCAGACGTCACCCAATCTAAAAGTCTGCTCGTCGTGGAACCCATCTACCTTTCCAAAATCTGACTGAGCACCCATTTCCTGGCTTCTAGTCCAATCTCAATCGGATGTCCTCCCACTTTCCTTTGATTCCCTTCCAAGCTTGTGAGCCCCCACGGCGTTTGCCGATCACATGTAATAAGTCATCTCCACGTCGGTATTTCTCCCTCATGAGCTTGACTTAGAGGGAATCCCTTTGTTTTATCATAGCCCATCCAAGCTTCATCATAAATGCATCATTCTGGATCTTTGCTTGTCGCAGACCTAGACCTTCCTCTTCTTTCTGTATGCAAACTTTATCCCAGGATACCAGATGGACCTCTTTCTATCTTCACTTCCGCCCCACAAAAAGAGATGGCATCTCTTGTTTATGTCCGAGCAAACTGCAGTAGGTAACGGTGCAAATTGCATTATGTACGTAGGAATAGTAGATAAGGTTGACACCACCAGAGTGCTTTGGGTTGCCATTGAAAGAGACTTTGCTTTCCAGGTCGTTAGTCTAGTGTCCATCTTGTCAATGATGTTCTGATACGTTCTCTTGGATACCCTTTTATGGTGCAATTGCACTCCTAGATATTTTTCCAAGTCCATTATCGGAGTAAAGCCTAAGAAGTTGCTAATCTCTTGCACCCGGTTAAAGTTGACGTTAGGTGAGAAGCAGATACGTTATTTAGCATTGTTCACCTTCTCTCCTGATGCTGTGTAAAAGTCTACCAAACACTCTTTTATGAGCCCAGCCTGATCAAGGGAAGCTTCTGCAAAGAGGATTAAGTCATCTGCGAAGAACAAGTACAAGATTGCTGTCCCGTTCTTCTTAAGTCTAAATAGTTTCCAATTGTCCTCATCCACTTCGCTTTGAATGAGGTGCACCAATTTTCCCATTGCAATGACAAAGAGGTATGGAGACATGGGATCACCCTGTCGAAGCCCCCTCGAGAGAGTAAACTCTCTCCTTGTCTACTGTTCCAAAGTAGCTGTAGCTTTGCAATATGAAAGCAAGAATCAATTACACTGATGGTATTCTTGGGTAAGTAAAGCTCTCTCAAGCATTTTGAAATAAACGACCATCTTACTCTGTCATAAGCCTTCTCTAGGTCAGTTTTGATAGCCATAAATCTCTTTTTCCCCTTCTTGTTTCTCATCGAATGAAATATCTCGTGTCACTGTAATATTATCCACCCCATGTCTACGTGGCACAAAAACTACACTGGTTGGGGCCTATCACATGTGGCATGACTTTTTTGAGTCTATTTGTTAGCACCTTCGTAAGGATTTTGTAGATCACATTGCACAGGCTAATAAGCTGAAAGTCCCTAATAAATTCTGCGTGGTTGATTTTCAGAATCAACATGATGTTTGTGCTGTTTATTTTATGTATCTCGTCTGGTTTAGACAGCAATCAGTGAACCATGTTGACTACTAAGCCTCCCACTACGTTCCATTGAGATTGGAAGAATAACGGGTTGAGTCTGTCAGGTCCAAGGGCCTTTAAAGAGTCCATTGAAAACAGGGCTTGCTTGACTGCATACGGGCATGCATCTTTGGCCATGTCATTCAAAACCGTATCATCTATTGCGGGGAACGTCCTTCTAAAATTGATGACTGGAGTATTTTCATCGTCATGAAACAGCTCCTTATAGAAATGAGAGCCTATATTCATGATTTCGTCCTGATCGTAGACCCACTCCCCCTCCTCATTCTTTAAGGCTTCGATCCAGTTCCTCTTTTTCCTACTTTTCACCATCGAATAGAAGAAACATGTGTTCTTGTCTCCCTCATTATACTAACTGTAGCGAGATCTCTCTGGCCATATGATTTCCTCTTGGACTAGGACTTCTTCAAACTCTACCCACAATCTATCTCTTTCCATCTCCAACTTTGGGTTATACACCATTTCAGCATCCCTCTTACTTACGGCCTCCATTTTCTGTAGGAGGTGCCTCTTTTTTTTATTTATATTCCCAAACACTTCTAAATTCCAGGTCTCTGCATTCTCTAAAAAAGCTTTCACATTGTCTTCTCATCCTCTAGATAGCACCTAGGAAGTTTTTATAAGGTCCTGGAAGCCCTCATGTGTTACCAATAGAGCAAAGAACCAAAAAGAGTGATCTTTCCTTACCACTACCTTGTTTCTGAAAAGACGAAGAAGAAGTGGCGTATGGTCTAACTTGAAAGGAGGTAGATGTGTTACTGTCACGTGAGGGAATTTTTCCAACCAACCAATATTAACCGCTGCTCTATCCAGCCGATTGCAACTCCTTCCTCTTGACCACATGAATCTCGGCCCATGAAACTTAAGGTCTATTAAGTCGTACTTTGAGATCCACTCTCTGAAAAGCTTATTTGCAGGTCTTGGCCTCCTCGTGTCTGACAGTCACTCATCTCTTAAGATGGCATTGAAGTCCCCCCCATACACACTAATGCTTACTCCTAACTCTGCGATGGTCGTAAGGTATTGCCATAGAGACCTTCTTTGACACCTATCAGGACTTCCATATACAATAGAGATCTCCCAGGCTGTATGAGATCCCTCATTGAAAATACAATGCACAACTTGATTGTGTTTCCTAGTGATCTGAAACTTCACTTCTTTCATCTAGAAAACCCAGATGCCTCCACTGAATCCCACTACTTCCACTACGTCACAGTGATCGAAGCAGACACGATGTGCCAATCTGCCTGCTCTATCACCTCTCAGTTTAGGCTCTAGGATCATGAGAAAATTAATTCTATAGCGATGACACAAATCCAACATCAGCTGCCCGAAGCCCTTGCTTCCTACTCCTTTGGCATTCTAGACAAAGAGATTTATGTCCCCCTTACTATTCATAAGGAATGTGAGGAGAGTTTGTTGGCAGTAGCACTCTTAAAATCTGGGGCTCGCAACCCCCTCCATTTACATGATCATCCTCAAGTCGCTCTCTTCATCCGACAAAGGGTTCGTTATGACCACAAAACTTTCATTTTTTAGTGATCCGAGGTCCAGGGGGTCATCATCTCCACTCATCTTTTATGTGGAAGGTGAGACCTGCATGGTGGGGTTCTCTCTATAGTCTTCCTTGTAAGAGCGGGTCCTACTTTGGCTTCTATGGTCTGCGTCATGGATCCTTTGATTGATTCTGTAGGGCCTACTAAATTGGGCATGTCCAACTTTTCCTTGGCTTTTGGGTAGGTGTCCATGGGCCTGGGTGAGTCGAACTCTTTCACCGCCTACTTGTTTTTCTTGGGCCCATTCATAGCGATCCCCTTTTAAGTCTCAGGTTTTCTTAGCAGCCCAGATGATGCATATTTAAAGGGATCATGAAAATTAAGTGGTATGTCAGCATCCATTGTGGTTGGTTCCGCCAAATCTTCGCTAACGGTCATATCAAGCGTGACAAATCCTGATCCCTGACCCTGCGTTAATGACTCATGCAAATTTCGACAGGGATCTCTTCCTTGCCCTTCTTGTCCTAATGGCCTTCGTCCCTTCCATGGCCTTTGTACCACCATCCATCTGCCGTACACTGGTGATGCTGTACCGTAAGCCTCGCCATTCTCCTTGCTGTATCCACCATCCTCCTCTGTTTCTTCTATCTACTCGTGATTCCTTCTCCTACCTTCATGTAGAGTTGTCTTGTTATTTCCACTGCAGTGATCTGAGTCATGCCCATACTTGGCACACCGAAAACATATCGCATGGGGACCCTCGTATTCTATCTTCTTCTCCTTCCTATTGATCAGGACACATGGGAGGAGAGGTTTTGAAGGTCCAGGTGGATGCACATTCTTGCAAACCAACCTTTGGTTTTTCGCAGCGTTGTATTATCTATTTTCAGTACCGGGCCAATCTGACTTCCCACTACATGCAGAATACCTATGTCGTAGTAGTTCAATGGTAGCTTAGCTACCCCAACCCGTCTGGCTATTTTAGTCACCACCTCCTCATTTGGATCAAAATCCTCCTTCCATGATTGGACATTGATATAGTGGTCGAAAATCAACCATGGTCCCCCAGTCAAGGCTAAGTCATAAGATTCTGTCCGTTTATAGTTGACCATGAAGAAACCCGAACCTATGTCAATGGTTTCTGCTTCCCCCCATAGTTGATTCACCTTCTTGTCTAGGATGTCTTCCCTGACCATTCGTTCGAAGACTGTGACGATCAATGACCTCCTCTGACGTTTAGCTAGTCTTCTCTTGAATTCTGGAAGCAGCACTATATTCGGCCCCTTCACCATTTGCTCCACTTTAATCCTCAACTTCCATCCTTTGCCGTACCACCAACCATCTTCCTCTTCCAACCCCTGGGTATCCGTGTTGCTGTCATTTGAAATAGCTTCTTGGTAGGATCTACGCTTGTTGTCCCCTGTCTTGTTGCCTTCCAACCTAATAGGGTCCTCTACCATCCAGTCATCCATCCAGGGAGCCATGGCACGGTCATTAAAGCAGATTCCCTCCCCTGTTTGCACCTTTTCTTGCTTCTTTCCAACACGTTCGCCTCCTCCTCTGTCGTCGGGCTCAACTCAACTTTTCCTTCACCGTCTGCTATTTCCAGGAACCAGAGAAACAATGCGAGTGGTGAAATTACTAAATTACTTGATTATATCATATGTTACATAAATGTTTATATGAATTATTAGATTATATATCAATTAAAATTTTAAAAAATAATAAATATAAATAGTTTAAAATAATTTAGCGACTTTTCTATTTTTATCCAATAGTCAACTTAGCTATTAAGGATGGATGTATTGGGGTAACCTGTAACTCTTCTTATTTTTAAGGGAAAATTTCAATTAGGGACAGCAGCTAATAATTTATTTCAAACAGCCTCCCAAAAAATTTTGAAATGTTACTGTAAAACCAAAGGAGCAAACTAAAATTAATTTAAGAAAGGAAAAGACATTTGTGCCCCTCAAGCTATGACTCTGAAACTCTTCCTCCTCTCTCTTTTAAAACTATTGATAACTCAAGCTTTCCTTTCTCTCACTCTCTAAAAAATCGAGATCATTTGTTGTCGTCATTGTTCCGGTAAGGAGAGCCTTCGTCATCACTACTATTCTAGTATGGAGTGCCTTCACCGTTAGTGCTATCTTTGCTGTCATCATAATCTCTCTCTCTCTCTCTCTGTGTACAGTGGGTTTGGTTTGGGTTGTTCTGAAGTTTTGAACCTTATAATACTATAAAATCCTTCTCCATTTCTTCTATTATATATTTTATGGGTTTGGTTAGGGTTGTTTTGAAGTTCTGAACCAGTGAGAAATTTTTTTACTACTCAGATTTGAGATAAAATTATATAGTGGGTTGATTTTAGATTCACACCGTTGAAGATTGAGAGTAAGTCTTTCATTTTCTATCATGAATTGTATTATGAATTTGTAAATTCCACTTCTCCAGAAAAAATAGTGATTTGGTGCTATGAAAGCTCGTGTTTTTGTTGTGAATTCATAAATTCCTATTGCAAATGTATACTATGTTTAATTATTGAAAATTGATTGAAACTAATACTTGAATTATATGCAGCAACGTATCATATATAGTTAGCGGCAATGGAATTAAATATTTATGAGTTCATTGATTATTGAGTTTTTATTGTTGCACCTGTGTGAATGTATTAATGGTTCTTATCTTTGTGCTATAAGAACAACACACTGTGCTAAAGTCTGAGTTGTTGTGGTGGCTCATTACTTACAGAAAAAATACGAAGGCAGCGCTGTTGTGAAACTGCTTCAACCAATAAAGACACAATAAAAAATAGTGATGACATATCAATTGTTATATTTCTATCCGAGATGTAATTTAAACTACTTTAGAATGTATTCAAATTTGTGTATAGAGAATTTGTACAATCAGTTTTGGAAAATATATATTATGATTATGTTTCATGTCAATTAATTCTAATCTTCTGCTTATCCCCATTAGTTTATAAGTATATGATGTACTACTCACAAATGAAATTAGGGAATTTACGGCAAAGATACATTACTTAACAACTTCATGTTTTAGAAATGTAGCTGTCATATTGACAACTGAAATTAGAAAATTTGTAAGAAAGATATGTATATTAACAATAAGAACACGTCCATTTGCAAGTGAACTAGTTGAATTGAAGAAGATGAACATGATAATTCACAAGTCTAGGAGGGACCATTTGCAAGTGGAATTAGGTAATTTGCAACACGGATACGTCCATTAACAATAGAAATACGTCTATTTGCTAGTGGATTTATTTAATTCATAAACACAACAATTCACAAGTCTCTGAGTGATAGTTCACAAGTGGAATTAGAAAATTTGGGACGATGATGCCCATTAACAACATAAATATGTCTATTTGCAAGTGAATTTATTTCATTCATAAAGTTGAATAGAACAATTCACAAGTAGAATTAGGCCATTCATAATATAGAAACACCTATTAACAACATAAATACATCGATTTGCAAGTGGATTAATTTGTTTTACATTTACATAGTTGCCAGCGAATTTCAGAGTAGTGCTTCATATATCATTTTGCTTTCTAATGTCTTCACAGATTTGCCTCCTGCATGGAAGATGCTAAATAATTACTTGTCACTATTGCTAGCCATATATGATATGTTGCTGCACATCATTCAAGTATTAGTTTCAATCAATTTTCAATAGTTAAACACAATATATGTTTGCAACAGGAATTTGTAAATTCACAACAAAAATAAAAGCTTTCACAGCACCAAATCACCATTTTTTCGAGAGAAGTGGAATTTGCAAATTCATAATACAATTCATGATAAGAAATGAAAGACTTACTCTAAATCTTCAATGGTGTGAATCTAAAATCAACTCACTGTATAATTTTATCTCAAATCTAAGTAGTAAAAAAATTTCTCACCAGTTCAGAACTTCAGAACAACCTCAACCAAACCCATAAAATCTACAATAGAAGAAATGGAGAAAGATTTTGCAGTATTATAAAGTTCACAACTTCAAAACAACCCAAACTAAACCCACTGTACACAGAGAGAGAGAGAGTATGACGACAACAAAGACAGCACAAATGGCGAAGGTACTCTATACTAGTATAGTAGTGACGGTAAAGGCTCTCCTTACCGGAATAGTGACGACAGTGAATGAACCAGATTTTTCAAAGAGTGAGAGGGAGGAAAGCTTGAGTTATCGATAGTTTGAAGAGAGAGAGGAGGAAGAGCATCAGAGTCACAATTTTGAGGGGCAAGAATGTCTTTCCCTTTTTTAAATTAATTTCAATTTGCTCCTTTGGTCCTACAGTGACATTTCATAATTTTTTGGGGCTGTTTGAAGTAAATTGTCAACTGCAATCCCTAATTGAAATTTTCCCTATTTTTAATATAGGCCTTTTGTCATGTTTGAAAAAAGACCAAAAAAACCAATCAGGGCATCCAATATCCATATTATTTTCTTCTTTTTAGGTTTCTCTATCTCTACTTACTACCTCCATTTTTTTAATATAAGAGTTTATTTGATTTTCATTTTAATTTTAAATATACGATCTCTATCTACTTTGTCTCTCATATTTATCTATTTTTTCTCAAGATAGTCCTTGTAATAATAGTAGTTCTAGGCCAATACACTTGATTAATAAAAATATTTTAAGAAAGACAACACCAATTTATTACAAATAACTAACTTAATTAGTTTTCCTAACTTACTCAAATTAATCAACTAGCTTTTATATTAAGGACTAGAAGTACTACAAATATAGCAGATTGTCATTTCCCAACAGTATCTTCAATATAAAATATACGAGAAATCTAAATTATAGTAGACAGATAGATGATAGATGGATAGATTGCGTAAAATACTATTTCTGGATCTAGACATATAAACATTTTAATGTGAAGATTAATAATTGTTAATGGGAGAATGTGGTTGGCAAAAGGAAAAAAAAGTTAATGGGAGAATATGGAATAAGATTAGTTACCGTTAGAGCCACTAATACGAGTCAGCCTGCTGGTTACAGACTGATCCATGGTGGGCTCAAGGACTAATGGACTGGTCCTAAAAGGATTAATTTTTGACGAGTTAATATTTTATCAGGGTTGGTAGGTTAGGCCTGCCAACCTGCCACCTTTTTTTTTGTTTTAATTTTTTTGCTTTTTATTTTCTTTTAATAAAATCTATTCCAATTCCTAAATACTTAAAATGAAACATCCAAATAGAAATGATCATAAATGAAACGTAGAATCCAAAGTTTTAAACATCCCAAAATATTAAATATACATGTATATCATCCTAAATGATTAAACATACATACTAAATTAAAATATAACAAATCTAAATCAACAATAACACGAACACAAATCATAAATTACTATTAAGTGTTCAACCATGAGTTATCATTCAATATTGATAGCGTTTGAAGCATGATCTGTATATGTGAAATTATTTAGTTGAGTTTGAGAAGTTGAACCACTTTCCTTCTGCTTGGCTAACTCTACCACAAAGAAAATTCATAATACAAAGCGAAAGATATATTACGTTATGGTAATTTTAAATAATAAGAATAAGATAAAGGACCAAAAAAATAAACATAATTATATTTGAAGGGAGAAAATTTTTTAAAAACATAAGATAAAATAAAATGTGCTAGCTCGTCAACCTTGTAGGTTAGCCTGAAATGTATTTGGTCTTGGTGGTCATGGGCTAAAAAAATCTGTTTTAAAATGAACATGATTTTTATCAACCCAGCTTGCCACTTTTTGGGGGGTTGATGTATCCCTATTTTATAATATATTTTTATATACAATTAAGGGATTTTATAATGTTTAAAGGGTTTAAAATGCAGAAGACACTCATGTTTTGAATTAAGAAAATTATATAAATTAATTGCTTAAAAGTGCATTTTTATTATATTTTTATAATTTCTCTTTTGAAAGGTATCTTTGTTTTGATTTAAAGGAATATTCCGTTAAACCAAGCATCAACCCCATGGAAACTACATTTATGGTAGCCACTTGGTATTAAAAGAGAATTTTTTTAATTATCTAATTGGAAATTATCCAAAATATTTAGTCAAAATATCTCTTATCTTTCACCATAAATTAAAGAGTTTGAATAATTAATTTCTTTTGTGGATAATTCCCTTATCGTATTTTGAATTTGAATAAATATTTTATTCATATTTCATTATCCATTTAATTTTCCAAATATCCACATTATCATTTTTATCCTCTTTCTAAACCCTAATCCTAATTCATCCTACCACCATATCTTTATTCAAATTTAAAATATTATCCTTTTATCCAATATCATTTAAATTCAAAAGCTCTTTTACTTTGGTTGCCATGAAGATCACACCAAATCAAGAGAATTCAAATCCAAAGTTCTATCAAGATTACAAGATAAAAGAAGATAAAAGATCAACCTAGAAGACTCAAGGATTTCTTCATCCATCTAGGATAGATTCAAAAGC